GCCACCTTTTCATGGTATGAATACATTTGCATCTTCTTCAAGGCCAAAACCGTATTGTATAAATTCTACTGGGTACAACCCTGGATCATATTTTCAGGGTGTGAATTCTTTTGCATCCTCTTCAGGGCCAAAACCTCAGTGTGTAAATTCTACTGGATGCAATCCTGGGCTACATTTGCAAGATGCGAAATCTTCTGGATTAACTTCAATTTCAAAACTTCAAGGAATGAAGCCATGTGAGTTGAATTCAAGGACAAAAATTCAAAGCAAGGCATCTATAATAGTCAACTCTGAACCATACTTTCAAGGTATGAAATCTTCTGAGTTAATTCCAGGGACAAAATTTCAAGGAGTCCAATTTTCAGAGAACGAACAAGTTGTACAACCTGTGTTCACTTTAGGGCCTCTGTTAAATGATGAGAAATCTGTGGTAGTTTTCCCAGATCCATTACTTAAAAATGTCAAGTCTGAGGAGTCGAGGAAACCATCTAAACCACCGCTTTCTGGTATAGACTCTGTAAAATTGATTTCAGGCTCTGGGCTGAAGAACTTAAAATATGAGTTTGCACCAGAGTTATGTTTTCAAAATTTGCAATCGGTGGAACTGAGGCCAGAATCCCAACAGAGAGCTTTAAATAGCCAAGAGTTGAATATAGGATGGCAAGGTGTAAAATCAATAGTGTTGGCACCAGAGCCAACTAGGAAGCTCTCACCAGGACCAGAGCTAACTAGTGTCAAATTTTCAAATTTGTTTCCAGAATCACAGCAACAGGATATGACTTTGGAATTTACTCCACAGCAAAAGTTGCAAAGCATAAAGTACACAGAATTATCTTCATTATCTCTGCAGCAAATTCCAAAATCTGTGGTGTTAGCTCCAAGGGCACTGCCTCAAACAGTGAAATCTGGAAATCAATGTCTGAGAACAAGTTATCCAATCACAGAATCCTCTGACATAATCCCAAGAATAGGGCATCACTGTGTAGAATATGCAGAAATCATCCCAAAGCCAAGGCATCAAGACCCTGAATATGTGAATTCAATTTCGATACCAACATATCAAGTTATAGAATCTTCAGAAAAAACAGAAGGATTAGTGCATAAAGGCACAGACACTGTAGAGAAATTTGTAGGGTTGACCCCAAAGCCAATACGTAAAGCCATGGAATCTTCAAGGACTCCTTTGCAAATAGATATTCAAGTATCAGAATTTGTTGATCTGACTTCAGTACAAAATGATCAAGAGCCAAAATCCTTAGAATTTACTACAGGAAAAAACCATAAAATTCCAGCAACACTGGGATTCCAGCATTCTGACATCCCAGGAGTGGCTATCATATCTAAGGAAAGAATGACAAGGAAGCAGGTGGAGAAATTAGAGGACTCACTCCAGAGCTATTCTCAACACCCACTACAAAGTTGGAGACCACCACTTGGGTCCTTCCAGGCAGGATTAGGGGCTCAAAGAGACTCTGTTCGATCTTTTCTGGGGAGACAACAGAATGTCTGGGAGAGTCATGCCTATAGGCAGAGACTACCTAGAAAATATCTCTCCACAATGCTAATGCTGGGGAATGTCTTAGAAACTACTATGGAAAGGAAGGTTTCTTCTCAAACATGTTTAGCAAAAAGATCTGGTACAGATATCTGCCAATCTGTTCAGAATTTATTTGGAGTTCCAGCTGAACTAATGGAATTTTCCCAGCCCCAGCTAAAGAAAGGTCCAGATACTATTTCAAAGCCTTCAGTGTTTAAAAACTACATTCAGAGGCATCCTTTATGCCATGGTCATGAAAAAAGAATGGGCTTAAGGATATGGACACGTGGCTTTCCATCTTCCATAATACAGCAATACTCTGGGACTAGACTGAGAATAAAGAAATCAAACTCAAAGCTCAGTGATGAATTCCAGGAAGTCACTCAGTACATGCCAATGCCATGTGTAGGGGATCAGCTTCCTACCCTAGTAGAGTCAGAAACTTCCTTCAGGATATTTCACAATCAGGAAGATCTTACTCCCTGTGAATCATGTGATTCACAGACAAGGATTTTTGAGCCCCTACAGTCCCAAAAACCAAGTTACTTTTCTCGGGCCAAGAAAGACTTTTCAGACCAGTCCCATTTGCTACAAGATCTGCAGCTAAAAATTGCAGCAAAACTCATGAGAAGTCAAATACCTCCTAATGTGCCTCCACCTCTAGCTTCAGGTCTTGTCCTAAAATATCCCATCTGCCCACAATGTGGCCAATGTTCAGGATTTAACTGCAATCATACTATTTTACATTCTACTTCTGGGCCTTATATTCTTATCTATCCACAGCTCCATCTTGTGAGAACTCCTGAAGGTCATGCTAAGGTCCAGGTGCGTCTTGGTTTTAGGTTGCGAACTGGAAAAAGACCTCAAGTGTCAAAGTATCATGGAAGAGACAGACATACCATACCAAGAAGTTTTATATCACTATCACAAAAGAAAGCTAAAATCTACCCTCCAGCTTCAAAGAATGTTGGTCCCACAAATTTTCAGTTTGGATCTTCCCAGTGTCCTGTTCTTTCCCAAGTCCACATCAGGAAAAAGCAACAGGACAGCCCTGAATTAGTCAAACAGACAGAAATTGAAGAGTCTAGACACTATGAATTCCCTACAGTTCGCGCTCTATCGGACAGTGATTTTGAAAGCAATCAAGATGAAAAATTTACTGAAATGAGAACAAAAAAGTCCTCTGATTCAAAATATCCAACAAAAAGAATCACAAAGGGACCTAGAGCACAAAACACAAAGTTCCACACATACAATAGAACCACAATAGAAAATACTACTGGGGAATTACCAGCCACTTTAAGGAGGAAGAGGATTGGAGCAACTCAGACAAATACTGCTTCTTTAAAAAGACAACCTAAGAAATCCTCCCATTCCAAGTTCATGCAACTGCTTTTTCAAGGCCTAAAGAAGGTATACCAAACAGCACACAGGATTATGCCTTTTGTTGGTGAGAAGCCTGAGGACGGGAGGATAGACAATTTGAGGTCAAGTGAAAACTATAATTCACAACAAAAATCTAGGGACTATAATTTAGCAAGAGATAAGAAAGGAGAGAGGATGCCAGCTGACAAGCAAAGGGCAACAAGTCCAATCACTAAGCAGAAGGATGTATTTTGTGGATCGTCAGACAAATGGAGATCAGCTCAAGAGCTACAAAAGGATAGCTTTTCCCATCTCAGACCTCTACAGTTGCTCAAGCCCACAGCTTCCCAAAGAGGAATTACTTCACACACTACCTCAATCATTCATCCTTTGGGTACAGTTCAAAATGTCAGTGGCAGCACTGCAAAAAAAAATTTCCACAGAGATGAAATCTCCAGCCAAGAGTCTAAGAAATTGCTCAAACCAGGAACCAGAGTTCAGGCACAATGGAGAAATCTACCTGGTTCCCTTCAGAAGAAAACCTTGCAGAGTCATCTCAGAGAGAAACACACGCACAAGGTGGGAAAGCACCATGGGTCCTACAGGAATAGAACCCAACACAATCCCTCTGACAAGAGCTCAGGCAGCCCCTATCACAGTCACCATCTCAGTCCCTCAGAGAGGCGACCTCGCAGTCCCTCCGAGAGGAGGTGTCGCAGTCCCTCGGAGAGGCGACATCGCAGTCCCTCAGAAAGGAGACACCACCGCAGGCACTCAGAGAGGAGCCGCCGCGGTGCCTCGGAGAGGAGCCATGGCAGTCGGTCTGAGACAACCACCCCTCACCATCCCTCTGAGAGGAGTGGCCATACTTCTGGGACAACCCTTCACAGTTGCTCTGAAAAGAGCCATCCTGGTCCCTTGGAGAGAGCTCATCCCAGGACCACTGACAGAACCCGGCACAGCTACTCTGAGAGGAGCCAACGCAGTAGCCAACGCAGTCGCAGTCGCAGTCGCAGTCGCCGTCGCAGTGGCACTGAGAAAATCCAACACAGCCCTGCTAAAGAGAGACTCAAGGACAATTCCCCCAAGGAGAGGCCCAGACATAGTTTGGCAACAGACTTCAAGGGTTACTCAAATCTATCTCCTAGGGACACTACTAAAAAGTCCAAAAGCAGGGCACATTTGGAGGCCCGAAGTTGTTAGATGATAGATGTCTCCTTCTGTTCTCCATTTAGCTCCCCCTTTCCAGTCTTTTTTCCTCCTCAGCCACTGCCTCCAATTTCCGCCTTCTCGGCGAGGAAAGGGCTTTTCAGGCCTCTCTACTAGAGGGGAGGGGAGCGAGAACGAGTCTGTCATTTTTCTAAGATCAATAAATGGACAATAATTGATCTCCGGGTGCATTTACAAAATCGCTCGCCACGAGAGTGAAGGAAGGGACAGCGCGCGCGTTGTGCAGAGCGATGGAACACAGGGACTGAGGGCCTCTCGGACCGGGGGCGTCTCCGTACTCCGCCCCTTCGCTCCACCCCTCCTCCCTCAGTCTCCTCGGTCCTGCGCTGCAATGGGGGGCGGGGTCTCCTGGACTCAGCCAGTCGTCACGTGACCGATCCCGCCGCAGCCCCCTTGGAAGCTGCTAGGCGGAAGTAGACCTTCAGACCGGGGCCGGGCGGCACTGAGTCCACATCCGGGAGAGGCGAGGAGAGCGGAAGTGGCGTTGGTCTGGACGGAGCCCTTGGGTGAAATTGTTAGGCGTGGAGAGGGAGTGATGTCTTCCAGGCTCGGTGCAGTCCCCGCCGTGAGTTTCTTGGCGTGACCGTTGTGCTTTAGAGGTAGCGCTGTTGAGCCGGGAACGTGCAACTGCTCGCTTTTGTCCCATGCTCAAAGAGTTGGTTTTATCAGACCCCATCGTAGGCCCCACCCTTTTAAATCAGATCCACCTGTCCCCCTTTTCCCACTTTTTTTCCCCTGTTCCCCACCTTCTGGTACTCACTTCGCGCCAGATTGCCACGAGTTTCGGTTTCTTTTACGTCCTCAAATCCCTCCCATATCCGTTGTTTTCTTTTTTCCCCCCTTTTAGAGCCTCCCTCTGGGGCAGGACTTTGAGAATGGGGGAAGATAGAGGCTCTGGCATTGTCTTTTCATTTTAGTAGGACGACATATTTTTCCTAAAAAGTGTTGCGGTCTTCCTTTGAGATAGTCGCCCCGAGGGAGCTTCTTTTCTTCTCGACACAAGGGGGATTCATCTCTTCGTGGTCGAGGTTCAGATATCCTAGCACTCACTCGTCTGCTTGTGATTTGCTAGACCCCGGGACCCACATCCTTTAAGCAGCAGAGGAGCACCAGAATCGTGGGAGCGAAGAAGTAAGTGAGGTTTTTGAGGTCTTTTTATGATTGTGTCTCCAACTCTTGTCCGTGGAACTGATGAAAATGCTGCATCCGCACTCACTGTCCAGTCTCCTAGCCACCGGCTATCTATAGCTTTGGGGTTTTAGACACTTGAAATGTGGCTAGTGCAAGTGAAAAATTGGATTTTAAATTTTATTTAATTGAAATTAATTGAAGTAGTCACCTGTAGCTAATGGCTACTGGATTGGACCATGCAGGTTTAAACGTCGTGTTAAAGAGGAATACCTGGCTTGCAACAACACAAAACAAAAAAGAGATATTCAACTAGGTGCTAGTCGTGAATTTCACCATACATATAAATTCGTGCTCATAAACACATTGATGAGCTTTGGAAGGAAGATGAAAATGGCTGTAAGAAAGCCTTTTTATTTGACTGGTTTGTTTTGTATATTAAATGTGCTGTATTTTTCTATGGTTAAAACAAAGAAAATAGTCTCATGAACTAGGAATTCATTAGATGATATGTCTGCTTTCTACCCACTGTGTAGGTTAGCTGTATGAATATGAAAAACAGAAGTGGCAGTCCAAAGTGGGAAATTGGGAACTTGGTGTAGCACAACACAGTGTAGTAACTAAATATTTTAAAATGGAAATTTAATGTGACTTTTGGGAGAGGCAGGTTGATGGCTTGGAAAAGGAATGGGTTATCAGAGTAGGTTGTTCCTAAGCAGAGGTTTGAAAGTTGAGGAATAATGCAGTTAGCTAGTTGAATGGGTTTTTCACAAGAGTACAACATTTGAACAGATAAAAGAAGTTAACATGGGAGCCAGTAGTTCTACAGGGCTGGCATGTCAAGGGAGGGAGTTGGTTCAGATAAGGAGAGAGGTAAAAGGAATACAGGATGTCTGTGGCTTTCTGGGTATGGCAAATGGGTGTTGGAGTCATTCAATGAACCAGGAATTTCTCAATGAAGAGCAACATATGGAAGAAGTACAAATGGATGAAGAGCTGGTCTGAAATTTAGAATCATCAGGTATAAAAATTATTGAACATACACTCTTTCACAAGATTAGTATTCAGTTAACCTTCTAGGGAAGGTGGCCCAAGTAGTGTTTCTCAGTGTGTACCTTGGTTCACCTAGCGATAATTGTTAAAAGGTATAGAGATGACACTAATATTCAAAAGGATTTTTTAAAAAATGGCAAGAAAGATGTACAAATGAATGGGCTCCCATTCATAATCAGAATTGGGATCATTGGGGTACAGTGATCTTTGATTTTAACTAGCTTCCTAGGACATTGTGAAGTTCAAGATCAGTGGTGAGAAGTGAGACTACAAGAGTAGAAAATGAAACCATGGAGAACACTAGTATTTAAAGGCAGATAGCACCAAAGAAATCTAAGGATACTAAAATGCTTTTCTGTTGAAATTGAGAAAAATGAACTATAGGGTCTTAAAAATTGTTTCTGATCAGAAGAGTCAAATAGACTAACATTTTCTTGTAGTCAGAAGCTAAAACTTGGTACCCCAATGACAAATTATAAAGTCATTTATGATTTTTTTTCTTTTTTTAAGGAAGATTTATTTAGCTCACAGTTTGCGGAGGTCTCAGTCCACACTCAGCTGGCTCCACGGCAGGGTGGTGTGGCAGAGGGTAACAGTTCAAGGCGGCAGAAGACGGCAAAAGCAGCAGGAGTAAAAAGGGAGAAGGAGGGCAGAGACTGATTTTTTTTTTTTTTTTTTTTTAAGATAAGGTTTTGTTCTGTAGTTCAGGCTTACCTTGAACTCACTGTGTAGCTCAGGCTGGCTGTAGGGTGATCTTCCTGCCTCAGCCTCCTTAGTGCTGGGGTTACAGGCATGTGCCAAGCCCCATAAAGGCAATCATGATAGTCATTATTTCATAATGAAAATTGTCAGGGAAATTTGAAATGAACTTGGTTTTCAACAAATAATCAAATGCCACAAATTGATTTGTAGATAGCATAAGATACATGAGAATTGTTTTTGTTTATTCTTTTAAAAACAATGCAGAGGGCTGGGAGATAGCTCAGTAGAATAAGTGCCTGCCTGGCAAGTACAAAGTTCTGAGTTCAATCCCCAGTACTGGGGGGGGGGGGGAAGTAATTAAAAACAATGCAAAAAACCTGGAGGGAGGGATTCTAAGTGTCTTGACTTAATGTCCAATATATTAATCATGCTGATCATAGTTACTATGGATTTTTCATGTGTATTTATGAGGGGATATGAGTATTTTGTCTTCCATTGATAGTAAAGAAATTCTTATACAGAGAGTCACTTAAGAGGAGTCACTTGGCTGTTAATGGCTTGATGGTACCATTCAGACTATTGAATTGAGCTTGTTACCTCTTTAGGATGATAGATTTTAACCCTACAAAACTGTCAATTACCATTAAACCATTTTTTCTTTTCTTTTATGTTTGTAGAACATAAGAATGAGGTGTAGTGGTCCCTCATTTATCATGGAGGTTATGTGCCGGACCACCCCCAAGATAAGTGAAAATCAGTGAAGTAGCGATATTTATTTTAGTATGTATATATATTTTAAGGCTTTATAAACCCTTCCAACACTCCTATAAACCTTCCCTACACTGAAAAACACTTCTAATGTTCTTAACCATTTTTTAAACTCGTAAACCTGTGTAATTTTAACAACATACGTATACTATACAGTACTGCAAAATCTGTGATATAGTGAAAATCCATGATAATTAATTTAGACTGATATGTTGAAAACCTGTGGAACAGTGAGTCCGTGAAACTCACACCACGAAATAGCAAGGAACTACTGTACAGGGCATGTAACACATTTTGAACTGAGTGTAGTGGCGCATCCCTGTAATCCCAGTACTCAGAAAGCTGAGGCAGGAGGATTGCTACAAGTTTGAAGACAACCTGGGCTATTAGTGAATTTGAGGGCAGCATTGGCTACAGAACAAGGCCCTGTTTCAAAATACTAAAACCAAACCGAACAAGTATTTTGATCATTTCTATTCCTTTACCCTCCTTTCTCTTATCACTCTCCTCACCCTGATCCCCTTTCTCATTTCCTAGAAGTCTGCCTTTTTGCTTGTCATTATTTTATTCATTTATTTGTTCATATTTTAGGTTTCTCACATAAGAGGAGGAAGTATTTGATATTTAACTTTTTGTGTGTTTGATTTATTTTGCTTAGTATTACAGATGTAACATGATGATCATCAGTTCTGTTCATTTTCCTGTAAATGACATGATTGTATTCTTCGTTATGGCTGGATAACATTCCATTGTGTATATTTTCTTTATCCATTCACCTTTGATGGGTATCTAGGTTGTTTCCATAGCTTAGCTATTGTGAATTGCATTGCTATCAATATAGGTATATATTGCTATTCCATTGAACTTTTTTTTATATCTTTATGTAGTTACAACCCGTTCTTATTAAAGTATAGGGCTGGGGAAATAGCGTGGTGGCCTAAGTGCCTGTCTGGAAAGCGCAAGGTCTGGAGTTTAATCCCTGAGACCACATGTCATGCCTGTCCAGACCCCCGGGCATTGTGGTGCACACTTGTAATCTCAGCACTGGGGGGGCTGAGACAGGAGGATCACTATGAGTCTGAACTGTGTAGCAAGACCCTGTATAAAAAAAAAATGTACATTGTGATCAGCCTTGATATATTTATGCATCTCTGAAACCACATTTATTTATTTATTTATTTTATTTTTATTTTTATTTTTTTGGGTGGAACTGGGGACTGAGCTCAGGCCTCTGCCCTTGCCAGGGAAGCGCTTATTCCACTGAGCCATCTCCCCAGCCCCTGAAACTACATTTTAAAAAAAAAATTGTTTATGCATTTGGTACAGGATTTCCCTCTGCAGCTCGGACTTGTAGTGATCCTCCTGTTTCAGCCTCCCCAGTGCTGGGATTACAGGTATGTACCCCCATGCCTGGGGTTCTGGAGTTGGCATGGCATGCGGTACCTGAGATGAAACCTGTGCTTGCCAGGCAGGCAGTTAGACTGCTGAGCTGTCTCCCTGGCTCTGAAACCACATTTTAGATAACAGTTTTTTTTCACTATTTTTGTTTTGTTTTGCTTTTCTTTTGTTTGATTTTTCTGAGGCAGAATCTCACTGTGTTAGCCTGAACCTGGAACTCATTATGTAGCCCAGATTGACTTTGACCTTAGTGATCTTCCAGTCTCAGCCTCCCAAGTGCTGGGAATTACAGGTAAATGCCACCATGGCTACTCCCCCACTTTTTTTTTCATCAGTGCATCTTGGTTGTACAGATTAACGGGTTTCATTTTGGCAGATTATTTTTTTTTTGCGGAACTGGGGGTTGAACTCAGGCCCTTGCGCTTGCCAGGGAAGTGCTTATTCTACTGATCTTTTTTTAATTTTATAGGCTACACCCCAGTTTTTTTGTGGCACTGGGGATTGAACTCAGGACTTTGTACTTGCCAGGCAAACACTTAACTGTACTGAGCTGTCTCCCCAGTCCCTACACCTAAATTTATTTTTCCTACACCTAAATTTAAAAAAAAATATTATTTTGAGGGCCTCTATGTCATTCATGTTGGCCTTGAGCTCATTGAAATTCTCCTACCTTTGCCTCCTGCGTGCTGGAATTACAGGCGTGCAGCCCCCCTGCACCAGCTTTTAAGGCAGATGTGTATGTGGGCCTAACAAACTTGAATTATTTCCTCCCACACTCCTCTCACCCCTCCCTCACTCCTACTTTGACATGTAGTGGGGGAAGGTTTCAATGTGTGTAATGTATTTTGATCACATTCCTGCCCTGTTACCTGTACTTACCCCCCCTCTTTTCTTCCTCTTGTCAAATAATAGTTTCCTTTCTTGTCCTATTTTTTATGGTCTATTTAATGTATTAGAATGAACACAATATTTCTGAGTCTGCCATATTTTGTTCAACATGATGATCTTTAGATGCCTCCAGTTTTTTACTAATAATAAAATTTCATTCTTTTTGTGGCCAGTGATACTCCATTGTGTAGATA